ACACACACACACACACACACACACATATATATATATATATGCAAAATATTTTGCATTGAAATAATGAGAATATAGTTGCAAATTGTGCTTAACTGTAATGAAAAAAGTCACAATGCAAAAATAAGCAAAAAACATCCTAATAATAGACTTTTTAAATCCAAAATTCACCCTGCAAGCGTCGTATTTTCAAACTTCTGCTGTATTATTTATTAACTGAATGTTTTATTAATCTATTCAGGTTTTATGACTAGAAAGCTGCTGCAGGTCCTATTTATAGACATGAAAAAATCAAACTGACCCATTTGCCATCCCCCCAGACAACAATAATAACATGTAAAGTCAATATTAGTCTTAACTGAAGTAAATAGGACAAACTGTACTCTGTTCACTCAGATTGAAGAGTTCGCATGACTGCACAAACAAGCTCCTGCTGCCTCTGCTTCCTCCAGACATTTCAGCATCTGTGATGCTTAGAAAACCTCTAAAATAAATATAATAATGGCCACTTAACTGACCATCTGCATGTCATTGAGTTCAGAACTCGACTGTAATTCAGAGACATTTCCTCCTTAATGCAAAAACACTCTGGTGAGGTCAAAATAGATTAGAACTGCTTGTCAAATAGAACATACAGTATGTAAGACTTTCGGTTTTTGCTCATTTATTATGAAAACATTTAGCTTAAACTTTCGAAATTTTGCTTCAAAAATCATTGCCATACGGGCAGTCGATTACATTTATTTTGAATAAAATTAGAAGTTCAAATTCAAATATTTAAGCTGAGCATAAACAGAAAACTTGCAATCAAGTCCTAACAATCACAGTTTTTCCGTGGAAATTTTACTCACCGAGCACTTTTCCCAAGACAATCGATTTGATGGCGTTGAATTCAGTGTCCGATGTTAGATTGAAATATTCCTTTGCATGCTGATCGACCTACAAAAAATGCAAGAAGACAGTTAACATTTTAGGAAAGAGGACAGAAAAAGCTTGGCAGCATCATGTTCATAGCAAGGGCATATTCATCTGCAAGCATTTTAATTCAAACTTATCTTCAAAGCAATTATAAAACAGGCTTGCTGGTTCAAGACCAGAGGAAGTGCTTCGGTCCCGCCGTGTGTTTGCATTCAAAGTGTGCTCATTGCAGAGGTTCAGACTAATTGGTTTGGTCGACAGTTATTGACCAGTGTGTGTCACGCATCAGACCGATTGATATTTCACCTGGACACTCAATATCAAAATGTGATCAAAAACTTGATTTCAAATTCATCAATATATGCATGGCTTGACAAGGGTTTTCTGTTATTTTGATGCATGTTGTAGCCTTTTAGAAAGGGTTCAAAGGAATATTCCTGGAAATTATCAAATTATTTATAGACTACAGCGGTTTAAGGCAAGACACTACAGGTTAACAGGATAAAATTAACTAATAGACATCACCATACTTTCCCCAGGTGATTAATCACACTACATTAAGACAATTATTTTGTATTCAGAAATGTTAAATATGCAAATGATGCATTATCTAAATAAATATGCACTAATTTGAATAAATCTGAGCACTGGGTAAAGCCAAAATTCTTATTTAATTTTGTTGATATGTTAGAGTTAAAGGTTTTTACAAAGGGGATTTGGGATTTCTCTTTTTACCAAGCCATAAATCAGAAAATACTGTCAAAAGGCAGAAAAAAAAAATTCATCATGTTTTTAGAATTAAAATGTTATAAAAATCAATGTGAATGATATCTGAACAAACCCCTCAGTATAAACCTTCAGAATATAGATATGAATAAAACTGTAAATTTTGGTGCATGTACTACAGAAGTGGAGAAACAAACTCATTTTGAGAAAATGTCCCTTAAAGATATATATTGCAATTGAAATCTACAGACGCATTGGTGCATTTCTCGAATCATCCTTAATATTTGCAAAGAAGTACGTGCATTTCTCAAAACAATTTGTACAAACAGCACCACACAATGGATTACCTGCAAAAGCCTGTAACTTACTCAAAATCTTTAGTTCATCTCTCAAAAGCAAGTATTTATGTCAATGAACATATCAGTGCCATCAGAATGAAAAGTCCTTGTGTCATTGTTCACAAACAAGATAGTCAAAATGCTTAGTCATGTTGTCAATATAACAGTGCACTTTGTTAGTATTACCTGATGTAAACTATGGCAACAGTTTGGATGACAGTTACTGTATTGAAATGCAGAAGGCTGCACTTCTTATGTATGTCATATATCCATTTCAAAAGTACAAATTTACACATTATTGTATGTGGGATATTGATTGAAAGAGACTAGATAGGATTCACATTTACACTTTACTAGTGGTCTGACAAAAAAAAACAACACAGTTTTTCTCAGTCGCTTTGGTGCATTTCTCACATCACTATTTACATTTGCACAACAGTTAGTTCAACCTCCACAACATTTAGTCATTTGTGCACATCATAGTAGCAGTTTCTCATTCCTTCGAACAAATTGCAAATGCTTTTGGACATGCATACAGAGCTACTGTTGATTTACCAGGCCAAAGGGGAGGAATTATCCATTGTCAGAATTTGTAACTCTTCTGTTGCCCTCTGTCTATGCTTTCCAATTGAAGGTTCATGAGATGCACCTTTGAGCTATTAAAAAACTGTAAACAAACACTTAAATGTGCATTTTCAATGTTTTGTTTCCACTAGTCTGAAGCAGGGTTATTATAGTTAAATAAACTAGAACCATAAAAAATATTTATGCTACTTGAAATAAAATATGATTACTGAAATAGAATAAAATATAATAAACATAAACTTGTTTTATTTCAGCAACATTTAACTTGACATACTAAAATAACTCAAATATATATTATATACAAGCTGTAAGAATTTGTTATATATATATATATATATATATATATATTACAAAATAGAATTGCAATTCATTATATATTATATAAAATATAATTTATAAAAATTATATACACATATTTAAAAACAACAAAAACTAATAAAATAACGAAAAAACACAACTAAATTGCTAAAACGTTAACGTTTATTAACAAATTCTAAGATCATGCTTTAATGTTAACAAATGAGACCTTACTGTAAAGTGTTACCACAAAAACTATAATAGTATCTCAATGGTACTAAAATAACACTGGTCTGAACACTGACAATTATTTACATTTAGTCATTTAGCAGATGCTTTTATCCAAAGCGACTTACAAATGAGGACATAGCAATCAAAACAAAAGAGCAATGAAAAATCAACAAAAGAGCAACGATATGCAAGTGCTATAACAAGTCTCAATTAACTTAACGCAGTACACGTAGCAAGTTTTAAAAAAAATTATATAATAAATAAAAAGAAAAGATATAGAATAGAAAAAGAATAGATCAAGCTACTGTTAGAAGCCTTTTTTTGCTTTTGTTAATTGTATAATAAATAAAAAGAAAACAAATAGATAGAATACAAAAAGATTAGTTTAAAAGTTAGTTTTTTTTAAAAGAAAACAAGCAGTTAGTAAATGAACAGAGTGCAAGTCTAAAAGGGGCAAGTTTGTAAAAAGAATAGAATTAGAATAGAATTATGGAGGCAAAACAGCCTGAAAACTGATGCTTCTGCCTGTAGTGTCTTGCCTGCAGTGCTGCCAGTTTGAGTCCAGTGTGTTTTTGCAAACACATTTCCCATGGAAATCAACATCATGTCACAGATGCTGTATGTTGAGAATAAGCAGAATGTCCCTTCACTGTGTGCATTTAACAGGCCCCGCTTTGATGATCACAGTACCTGAATACTGAGCGTCTCTGTCAGTCTCTGGACGCTCACGCGGTGCAGCTGCCCGTTGGCCAGATTCCTGCCGCTGGCTCGGAAAACCTCCGCGTCTCTGTTGTGCTGCAGTTTGTACTTGATGTCCAAATGTCCTTTAGAAGAAAGAGCATTGGATTTCTCAACAGGCTTTTATACCGTAAAAAGCCACCGTTTAACCGCAGTCAACATGAACAGGAACATCAACATGCGACAGAAGCCAATGTGTTTCGCAACTACAAAGCTTCATCTTAAGAGGATTAAAACTTTATCCTCTATGAAACAAAACAAGATGCGGAAATAAACGAAAAAACTCATTTTTGCATGCATGCATATCACCTCCGGTGAACTTAATCATTCTTTACAAAGCTAAAACTACTTTTTAACATGTTGTCAAGTAAAAATAAGTGCGTTTTGCACGTGGCAAACATAATATGATGCTAAGTGGCTGCTTGCATGTTTGGTTCTGCACTAACGGATCAGTTGGCTTTTGCTTGCAATTTTTAGGTGAACTGTCCTGTTAATTAATGCATATGGACAGTGAGAAATAAATAACTTCATGCAACAGGAACAGGAAGCTGTCAGAGCAGCCTCTGGGGTTCTGGATTTTCTGCTTAATTGCACTAGCAGGTATTAACGCCACACGCTGTCTGCTGTTTCCTCTCTGTGCAAACCCAGTGTGTCATGACGAGCCAGATCCACAGATTCCTACTGAATTCTGCTGCTGCGGCAGCGTGGGACGCCATGATAATTGGCCTTAACAGCATGCTAAATAAAACAAGACTATATTGGGTAACATACTTTGATGTTTGGTTATGCACTGTTACTTTATATGAACATCCATTCCAAAAAGCTCAACAAGTATCCATGCATTACACTGTGTTCTAACTTATTTTAGAATTATTTACATTCTATAATAATAAAAATAACAACAATAACACATTTAGAATTATTTATATTCTACAATAATAATAATTTATATATATGTATATATAAATTATTATTATTGTAGAATATAAATAATTCTAAATGTGTTATTGTTGTTATTTTTATTATTATAGAATGTAAATAATTCTAAAATAAGTTAGAACACAGTGTAATGCATGGATACTTGTTGAGCTTTTGTGTGTGTGTGTGTATGTTAGTTTTAAGGTTTTGTAATTTTGTTATGCAGATTTGTCAGTTTTATTATTTTTAGTGTTCTTTTAAATATTTCTATTTAGCTTTAGTTTATTGTCGTTTTTTAATTTTTATTTTCAGTTAGTCTGCAAGGTAATATCCCTAATTTTCATTTAAGATTTTTTACTTTTTGTTTTTCATCTACTATGTATGTTTTCGTTCATTACAGCTCTATTTCAACAATTTTTAATAGTTTTAGATTTAGTTAAGAATACCAACTTTGGTTCCAACCAGACATGATGCAATACATTTCCAGCAACAATTAATATTTGTCTAGGTACAATTAAAGCATAACATTGGTACAATTAAAGCATAACATTGGGACAAATATGCAGATTTCCATGAAAAGGTTTTTATTGCATCACAGTGGGCACAGTGATTCAAATAAAACTTCATGAGTGTTTTTGCATGATTCATTAAAAGAATTGGCTCACAAGAGTCAACTTGTCATGTTGTAAAGATGTTTTGCAAAGATGCAATAGAAAGATGTCTTGTATTTTTACGGTCTTTGCATTATTTTGCGGCTAAAATATAGTTTTTAAACGGAGAAGAATGTTTTATTGCACCATGCTTGTTTAAGACTGATTGAAATCAAACTTCATGAATCTTTTTGCATGAAGCGTTAAAAGAATATTTTAATCAAACTACATTGCATGATCTGCAAAGAAGACACAACAGAAAGATATCTTGTAAGTTTACTGCAATATTTCGTTGCTTGCAGCCTGTTTATCTCATCACATTCAAGTCTGCAAACTCACAAATATTTTAGTATTATTGATATACTATAATAATATTTATTAATATTTTGACTGAGGTTTAATTTTTGTATTTTCATTTACATTTTAGTTTAATCTTTTGTAATTTAGTTTTTGTTTTCATGTAAAATAGAATTTTACATTAGAAAACATTTTATTGCATCACGTTTGGTCAGGACACAGTGATTCAAATCAAAGGTCATGTATCATTTTGCATGATTCGTTAAAAGAATTGGCTCAAAAGTGTCAACTGTTAACTCTTGACAGTATTTTTACTGTCTTTGCATTATTTTGTGGCTAAAAATATTTATTGCCTCACGTTTGATAAGAACAGTGATTCAGATCAAAAGTCTTTTTTGCACGATTCATTAAAAGAACTGTCTCAAAAGAATCTTTTAATCATCCTACACTGTATGATTTGTGTAAAAGAGCAATAGAAAGAGATCTCGTATGTTTATTGCATTATTTCATGGCTCTCAGCCAGTTTCTCATCACATTTAATTTTGCAAACGTGCAACTTGACTAAAATATAATTTCCCTTGCAGTGGCAGATTTACAGCGCAGGAAACCGTGAGAAGACGTGTCTCTGATGTCAGGCTGCTGTTTTGGATGAAAGTCGAGCAACTTTTTAAATTACGAGAGCTTCTGAGAAAATGTAGCTCTGAGAATCGGCTTTTGTGGCGTGTGAGATCACAGACGCATGTTTACACGCGCTCATGAATGCATGGCAGTCTCACGAGGGAATATATCCCCCGCCGGCACGCAACAGGCCATTTCTTTCACGGCTTACCCTCTCTCTTGCCGGATTTCAGACAATATAGGAAGTAATTTAGTGCGGCTGGTGTGTTCAGAGATTCCCCAGACTCAAGCTAATCCACCTGAATGTGCTTAGAGAGGAGAATCAGAGCGTTTCAGACCGTTTCTGTTGAGCAGGACGGCGAGGAACTCTCTGTAGTATGAGCTGATGTAAAGCAGCAGCGCCGGCGCTTGGCTCGTCCTGAAGCTCAGCGAAACGTTCTCTCCTCTCAGCGTTAAATCTGAGTAGATGGAGGACGACTGAGCGCTGATGTTCCTGTTCAGCTTGTACGGCTCTTTGAACGTGTACGTGACTGACGTTCCAGGTTTGAAGAAGGCAGAAACGTCTGAAAGAGAGATTAAACGCACTGGGATTAGGATAATGGATATGCATAACTATCATAAGCTGGTGTAAGATCATTGTGTCATATTGACTTATTTTTTTGGACAAAAATATTCTCAAATATTTTTTTTCTGCATCATAAATACATTTTACATGTTTGTTAGACCACAGAATAAGATAATGGCCCCATGAAATCCATTAGATTTTTTTTATGGATTCTGTGTTTTAACACAACTGCGTTTAAATGATTTAAAGGCGTCCTATTATGCTTTTTCACTTTTTAAATTTTAGTCAGTGTGTAGTGTGTATGTTTGGGCATTAAAAAGATCTAGAAAGTTACAAATCTCAAAGTCCACTCCAAAGGGAGATATTTAGTCCTTTTCAATAACTACAGCGAACGGCTCGTTTGGACTACAGCGTTTAGTTTCCGGGCTTTGTGCTATCACAAAGCGGCTCATTAGAATTTCATTACAAATAATTCCCGCCTACAGAAATTCGAATGGTTGGGGGGTGGGGAGGGGCGAGGTTGTGGTTAGAACGCTTGGTTGAGTGAGCGCATCAGACGAGACGACGAAGAAGAAGTGCTGCTGCAGAGTTAGTGCATCAGAGAAAACCAAGAAGAGCTGCTGTGCTGTAGTGTAAAATTTCTGGCACGTCTAGATCAGCGGTTCTCAATTCCAGTCCTCGCGTACCCCCGCTCTGCACATTTTATATGTTTCTCTTATTGCTTCATACGTTTGTTATATTTGACTGTAAGTGCCCTGCGAAGTGGACATTACCGGATATTCCTCCATGATTCCAGTTCGAAGGGAGCGTATATGTTCCATACAAAGGGCATTTAAGTGTGCAAGACGTGAATTTAAATTGTATTTATTTACAGAGATATATTATGTCCCACTTCACGCTTCTCTAGTAAGTTTCGTTTGTGTGTGAAGACGCTGCAGGCAGCGGCGCAGCGCAAATCTGTAAATGAATATTCCGAAGTGAAGTAAACTTCAACGGATTTCCCCTGCTCAGAATCAAGACTTTGTAAAAGAGCATAATAGGACCCCTTTAATAAAATTCATCATCCAAAAATGGTGCCTAATGAAGTGAATTCATAAAACTTTAACAATTTAATCAATCTTTTAAAATGCAAGCAAATGAAAATATAGCAATAAATATAGCAATATACAACAAAATATTTTTATATTACACAATATTTTTTTGTGTCAAAATAAAGTACTATACAATAGTATAGTAAGATATTCCCGTCATAATTTCTTCAAGTCAAGCCAAGACTTTTGGGTGTCAGTAAATTTTATGATTTACTGCAGTTTTTAGCAAATTAAACTGTAAAATGCTCACGAAGTGCAGATCTGGAGAACTATTAAAAGTCATTTTTGTAAAATAAAATAAAACGAAATAAAATGTGATGAAAAATGTAAACTTAAGTGAAAATTAGAACTGTTGATTTGGGAACTAACTGAAATAAGTTGAAGTGAAATTACTAAAAGAAATAAAAATAAAAGTAAATATATAAAAAAAGTAATAAAATGACTAAATCAAATAAAATGACTAAAATTTAAAGTAAAACAAAAATGAAAATATAAAAGATGATAAAAAATATGAATAAATACTATAATAGTATATAAATAATACTAAACACGAAAATAAAAGACATTTGTTAGCAAAATGTCTATTTTTTTTTTGTAAAATATCAATGTGAATATTTTGTTTGTGTATTGTACCTTAGCTTTTACCAAATTACATGCTCGTAAAGTGCGGCTCTGGAGATGTAGTTTATTATAATTTTTGTAGATAGACAGACAGACACAGACAGACAGACAGACAGACAGACAGACAGATAGATAGATAGATAGATAGATAGATAGATGACTGATATTTATTTATTTATTTAAATTTATGTTTAAGGGCAAAAAACAAACAAACAAGACAACAACAACAACAAGGAACCACATTTAGCAAGGAACCAAAGAGAACAGTGTAGTTATTGCTAACTAACTAAAACTATTAACATTTTGGGTAATTGAAATGAAATAAAATTTAAATATTAAATTAACTTAAAATTACAACCAAAAATTTGGAATGTTGCTTCTGAAACTAAATGAAATAAATAAGTTTAAATAAATAAAAACATATTAAAGCAAAATAATTTATAACATATTTATTTTACATAGTGTATTTTGTTTATCAAATAAAATAGGGAAACGCTCATGAAGTGCAGCTGTGGAGATGATGCTATTATTGTCATTATCAATATTGTAAAGGCATTTATTTTTATGAATACTGGTATCAATGCACTGTCCAGCCCTGTTTTTAGGGTGACCCTGATGAGCTTCAGTACCTTTATGGCAGAAGGTGCCGGTGAAGGGCGAGAGGCTGCAGTCGCAGGTGAAGCCGCTGTGATCCTCCACACAGCTGCCGTGATTCTGGCACAGGCCGCCGTAGCTGCTGCAGTGTCCGGGACATCCGGGCGTCACTCCAGGCGTGATCTCCGCCCGCTCCTCCAGATCCAGAGTCTTCCCGTTCAGCTTCAGCGAGCGAATGCAGCCCAGGAAGCCCTTCTGTCTGGACGCCGTTCCTCCTGAAGACGCAAGCACCAGGGGCGCATTAATGCACGGGCTTCAAGGGGCTGAAGCCCAGGGGCCTACACTGGAAAGGGGGCCCACTGGCTGCAGGGAAATTATATTTTTTGAATAATTATTTATATAGGAGTTTGCAGCAGTGACAACAGCGTTCTGTAAACAAACTCAACTTGGGGGTGGCGGGGATGATTTTGAAAACATTTTTTTTCAGAGCAAGGCTTTAAAGTATAATGTTAGTGTAATCTGTTAACAAAGCACATCATAAACCCGTCTTTTTAGGCAAGTACCAGATAATGTGTGTCATGTCACGAAATGTTTTTAATACGACTGAAAAGGTAGGCTATTTAACGTGATCACAATTGAAAAAAAACATTAGGCCGATTAATTATTTAATTTCAATGGTTATTCAAACAACGAATAAATTATATAGGAAAGTGAGCAAAGAACATTTACAGTATCAACGGAGCTTTTTGAAACTCCGAATCAGTTAAACCTTTGCGTCGCAAAATGATTAACTGTTTCAAAGCACTCCAATTGGATCGCGTATCACGAATCATTTGATTCAGATTGAGACTTCAAAGCGCGTATCACGAATCATTTGATTCAGATTGGGAATTCAAAGTGCGTATCGCGAATCATTTGATTCAGATCTGGACTTCAAAGCGCATATTGTGAATCATTTGATTCAGATCGGGACTTCAAAGTGCATATCGTGAATCATTTGATTCAGATCGGGACTTCAAAGCACGTATTGCGAATCATTTGATTCAGATCGGGACTTCAAAGCACGTATTGCGAATAATTTGATTCAGATCTGGACTTCAAAGCGCATATCGCGAATCATTTAATTCAGATCTGGACTTTGGCGCTGTTTGCAGGATGTTTTTTATCCCCACCGGAGATAAAAATAATTCAGCAGAGGCAGGGATGTGTAGACCAGAGGGGGGGAAATCCCCCCGTTCCCCCCGGCAAATCGCACCCTGCCCGTAATAACGTAGTGTTTACTTTATGTAACGGCTATATAATTCTGCTGTTCCACAAGCGCCACCTTGTGGCAAAGAGTGAATTTGCATATTCGCTTATATTCACATTTTATGCAGAACAGTGTTGCGAATGTTAACTGGCATATTAACAAGACAAAAAACAAAATTTGACAAATGATTGTTAGGAAGCTTAAAAAAAAGAAAAAAAAAAAAGGTTTTCTGGGGTCGGGGGGCCTACTGTAACGCTGTAGCCCAGGGGCCTTTGGTTATCTTAAGGCGCCCCTGGCAAGCACAGTTTACTCTGAAAACACACAGCTGTCCAGACTCGGAGAAAAGCACAAAAGCCATTAAATGACAGCAAAGTTCTGAAAGGAAAAGACGTCTTTTATCGCACAGACAGCGTAACCTTCTCGCATGTTGTCAAGGGTTTGAGTCATGGTGGGTGGTTTTGTTCAAAACGTTGACCCTTTTCCCTCCTCTAATGTACTGAATCTGTCAGTCTTTCACAGCCTTTATATGGTAATTGCTTTGGGAAGAATACTGCGTTTTTTTGCATTCTGTTCCTGCAGACGACGAGCTATAAATACAGAAATAATGCGCTCTGCATATATTAGTGTTCAGCGGTTTAGCGCTAATTCGTTTGAGCGAACACGTCGCTGTGCCAGCTGTGCCATATAATCATCTGTGAAATGCTCAACCGAAAGTTGGAAATGCTGTTAAAACTGTTAAAAGTTTTGACATGCAAGTGATGAAACAGGAGACAAATGCAAACGTGTTACCAACTCTACAGGAAACAGATGACTATTATGTTTCTTTATTTTGTCCGATTTTTCGCTTGGACAGAAATCAGAGCAAATGGAAAGTTTTGTTTAAGTCTCCCTCTTAAGTATTTATATGAGATCTTAATGTCTCCAATTATTAATAATTACTCTCAGTACTGTAAAAAAATACTATAATACACTTATAATTCACTTACAGTTTGTGATTGTAATTGTGGTTAATTGTCATTAATATGCAAAAAAAAACCCCTTAATGATCCTAAAATATGCACAAAAAAAAAGTATAATAGAAAACTAAAACTATTAAATTAATTAAAATAATATCAAAATGCAAAATGCAATAATAAATAAATAAATAAATGTAAAAAAATATCTTAATGGTCCTAAAATAGGTCGAAAATATATATTAATAAATTAAAACAGAACAATGTTGTTATTGTTAATAAAACTAAAACTATTAAATTAATTAATTAATAACAAACTGCAAAAAAAAAAATTTTAACAAAATGAAAAAAATTATAATAATACAATAATAATAACAATAATAATAAAATAAAAAAATTCTTAGTGGTCCAAAAATATGCAAAACAAATACATAAATAATCTAAAATTGAACAATGTTGTTATTGTTAACTAAATCTAAAACTATTAAATTAATCAAAATAATATCAAAACAAACAAACAAACAACCAAATAAACTTAATGGTACTAAAATATGCAAATAATAATAATAATTTAAAACAGAAAAGTGTCATCGTTAATTAAAACTAAAACTGTTCAACTAAAACTATTAAAATAGGCCAAAATATATATACATAACTTAAAATAGAACAGTGTTGATACTGTTAATTAATACTAGAACTATTAAAGTATTAAAGTAATTAAAATAATATCAAAATGCAAATCGTTAACTATTTAAAAAAATCAATAATTCTACATTAGTTTTACAGCTCTATACTGTACCGGATGACATCTATTGACGCATGTGTGTTTATTTGTATTTCTCCTAAAGAACTGTTGAAGAAACATCTGTGATGAACGTGATATTTTAGTGGAAATAATAACTGAGATCTCCATGAAGTCTCTGAAAGAGTGACCTGTGAGCCTCATTCGAGTCTGCAGCAGCCTATCAAAGCTGATAACTTGATAAAAAATGACTTTCTTTCTCATGTTATGAGCTGAACAGAATATCTGCAATACTGAGAGCGTCTCCTGGAGTCGAATGACTGATCTGTTTTACCCAGAAGACCTCAGACCTGCATTATAAATGGGCTGAAATGGAGTTCTTCATGGCTAGATGAGCAGACGGCCGCATTTGAACAGTCATGGGAACCGCCAATCCAATTGCTGCAGATGGAGCTGTAAAGATTGAACTATAATCACACTACTTTGCCAACACTTACAGGAAAACTTCAATTCATTCGCGCTGAATTCCTCCAACACACAGACACCTTTCAGATTTGCCAGCTGCTCGGTCAAGGTCAACAGATCTTCAGCTTCACAGAAAGCACTGGCATTGAGAGTCACAGCATCACAGCCTGTTTCAGCCCTTCAGATTCACACCGGGACTGAATCTCATGAAACCTGCTCAGAACTTGTCTCAGATTTCACCCCCCAAAACCAAAAGGACAAGGAAAAAAACCCCATTTTGCATAAAGACCATTTTTTAAACCTTTTTTTTAAACATTATTTTCAGGACTTTTACTTCCAAATGTTCATATTATGAGTTATGATGCATCTGGATGTTATAATTATCATTATTTTTTAATTATTCTAAATACTGTATTTTAAAAAATAATCACAAAGGCAATATAACAAATACAGTGATGTATGAATAACTTTATTAAATAATAATAATAATAATAATGATGTGGTTAATTGTCATTAAAATAATAACAAAATGCAAATACTTTATAGTTTTAAAATATGTAAAGACAAAATAATATAATATATATAACAGTAGTTTTATTTTTAACTAAAAGTAAAACTAATTTGGTAATTGAAATAAAGCTAAAATAAAACATAAATATTAGATGAAAAACAAACCTAAAAAGTACAGCTGGAATAAAATAAATTAAGTAAATATTAAAAACACAAACACTCATAAAAATGACAAAAGCACAACATGATTAAAACAAAAAATTCTAAATACTGTTAAATACTATAATAGTACATAAATAATACTAAAATAACACTGAAATTGAAACATAAAAATATTAATTAGAAATAAAAATATAAAATATTTCTAAGCAAAATTTCCCCTTTAATCGTAATAAATTAATAAATACTATAATAGTAAAAAAAACTAAAATAGACATATAAAAATATAAGATCTTTGAAAGCTGTTATATAGTTATATTAGTATATAAATAATACTACAATAAAACTGAATTAGAAATAAAAAATATTAAAAAAGGAAAAAATAATAAAAAAGTATAGAATATTTGAAAGCAAATTTTCCTTTTTTATTTGTATTTAGTAAAATGTTTTATTTTTTATTTGTGTAAAATATTTTTAAGCAAAATGTCCTATTTGATTATTTGATTTTGGAATGATATATGACACAGTTCTTCTTCGTGAGATTCACACAAAAGGGACAAATGTGACCCTGGAGCACAAAAGCAGTCTTAAGTCGCTGGGGTATATTTGTAGCAATAGCCAACAATACATTGTATGGGTCAAAATTATACATTTTTCTTTTATGCCAAAAATCATTAGGATATTAAGTAAAGATCATGTTCCATGAAGATATTTTGTAAATTTCCTACTGTAAATATATTAAAACTTAATTTTTGATTAGTAATATGCATCGCTAAGAACTTCATTTGAAGAACTTTAAAGATGATTTTCTCAGTATTTAGATTTTTTTTGCACCCTCAGATTCCAGATTTTCAAATAGTTGTATCTCGGCCAAATATTGTCTGATCCTAACAAACCTAAGCTTCTTTATTCAGCTTTCAGATGATGTATACATCTCAATTTCGAAAAACTGACCCTTATAACTGGTTTTGTGGTCCAGGGTCACAAATAATGCCCATCCAAAGCATGATATCAGCGCTGTGACTTCTGAGGATGAACAGACATCATTGATCTGTGAAATGCTCTCCTACCTACAAACAGCTGGCTGTTGAGCTGCAGATGAATGTGTCCGTCAGCGGGGGCTTTCTGAACGACGCCGGGATGATGGTCCACATACAGTGAGGCCTCCTTTACGTTCCTCTCGGCTCTCACGTGATGCCAGCGCTCGTCGTTGAGAGCCGCCGGCATCTCCGCCTTCACCTCCAGAGGACCGTTCCCCACGTCGAACGAGAAGAGCACTCGAGTCGGAGCTGGAAACACAAACACGTTTGATGGATGTTCAGACTGATATTTGGCTGATGTTCGGATCCAGTTAATAAGACGCAACTGTTGAAGAGAAATGAGAAATGAGATGCATTCCAGTGAAATCTGTTGTGTGGCAGATGATGTTTGATGGTTTGAGAAAAACACCAGGAGAACGTCTAAAACAACTTCTAATGATAATGAAATGAGTGAGAAAACAGCTGACAGATCCATTCAGCTGCTCTAAACAGGAGAAGAGCATCATGCTGATGAACAGCATCATCTATAGAACTAAAAACCTGCAGGAGAGAGAAATCTCGCACCAAATCTCTTTAAGATCTTAACTGCTTCTCTGAGGAACCAGATGTTTCTGCTGAGGAAAATATGAACTCAATATGAACTCATCGAATCCTTCATCAAAGGATCTGAGCTACTTCTACATTCAATACATTCATTCAGAAGATCACAGACTTGTTCGGGAGCCCTTTTTATTAAGCAGCCTTTATTGACCAGCAACCACATAGCAACTCACGTTTTCTTCAGAAACTGTAAAAATCTAGAGAATTAAAATTAAAACTGAAAACACAAATATAAAAACTAATTAAACATATGCATAAGCACTATAATAGCATATGAATAATTCTAAAATACCGCTGATCTAAAAATATAAATAATAAAAATATTAAATATTTGAAAGAAAAAAATATTTCTAAAAATGTAAAATTAAAACTGAAATTATATAAAAAAAGCTAATACAAAATATTAATAAATACTTGAATAGTATAAATATAATGGTAAAATAACACTGATATAAAAATAGACATAATAAAAATATTAAAAGTTTGTAAACTAAATCTTACTAAAATTTAAAAAACAATTAAAAAAAAAACAATTGAATTCTTTTAATTAAAAAATTAAAACTGGAAATTTAAAAAGTAATTCAGAATATAAGTAAATATAACAGAATATCATCAATACTTAAATAACAGTGAAATAAAAATAGAAAAAAATAAAAATATTAAATATTTGTAAAAATCTTACTAATACTTTAAAATTAGAATGAAAAGTGAATATATTAAAATTAAAGCTAATTTAAAAATATTTATAAATAGTATATACTATACATCTACTACAATTAATATTAAAATAACACTCAAATAACAAAATCTAAAAATAAAAGACAGAAAATGTTTTGAAATTAAAAAAATATATAATAATTTAAAAATAAGTTTTTAAAATATTTTAAGCAAAATAGCCCTTA